TTTTTTTTTTTTTTTTTACTCTCTTGGTTATGATGGTATTTTTTGATTGTAGTGTTTTTTCTTTTGATCGGTTTGTTTGGATTTTTTTTTTTTTAACTCCCTATATTTTTAGGATTCAAGCATTGCTGATAGCACCTTTGTAACTTATGGAGAATTTTCTGTTCTTCCCCCCCCACATTGTATTCAGCAAAAATAGGACAAAAATTGTTTTAACCACTGGGATGCGTAAGATCTTGAGAATAATTTACTTTTAATTTTTCTTCTTCAGTCCATATTAGTGACAGGGAGTCAGATCTGTAGCTCTAGGTTGGTACTACTTATGTTTGGAGGAATTTGAAAAAAACCTGACCAATTATCAATGTATTCTTCTGATTTAATTATCGACTATTTGTTGTTGTTATGAAGTATTTTTGTAAGCAGCTTGTTTAATCTCTTGCCAGCTTCTTGCAAGCACAGACCCTAAGTGTTTGATATGTTAAATCACAGGACAATCAGCTGACCTCTCTCCCCTTGGACTTCGGGACTTGGACTAGTATGGTAGAACTGAACTTAGCGACTAATCAGCTCACAAAAATCCCTGAGGATGTATCTGGGCTTGTTTCTCTTGAGGTGAGAAGAGTGTAAACTAACAGCTAAGTGAATCCCTCAAAATAGGCATTTTTTGCTTCAGGTTTAAGTTATATTATTTTTGGGTCAAATAAAACCAAGTAAATGTGTATGTGTGCTACTTAATCTGCTGTTGCATCTGTTTATGGCTTTCATCAACAGCTTTTTGAATGTTGTTCTTTAAGCTCTAGATGAGTGTCTGTGCACAAACAACTAAGCACAGATATATTTTTAGCTATGTAGAAAGAAAATCTTTCTCAACAGAAAGTTCGTTTCATAAATGCAGTGGCACTGAACTTGGTTCAATTCCTGGAGACCATCATGGAAGCAGCAGGGATCAGAAAAACATAATTAAATAGTCTGTGGCCAGAGGTGTCTTAAATATAGTGCTGTGAACCTTGTAGGCAGCCAGGTGGGAATTCTCAGCCTTTGAGGGGGGAAAAACTTGTAGGTTGAAGCCGTGAACTAAACCTGTTGTGTCCCCTTGTCCTGTTTCCCAAGGTACCGTCAGCAGAGACAAATTAGTTGCCTTGGAGGGACATAAAGGTAGAGGTACTTGTTTGGGCAGTTAAAGGGACTTTGTAGCCTCTATGAGTTGCTGGGAAAAATCTGGTAAAGAACAATAGCAAATGGTATATTTGAAATTGTGATTTTTTTCCAATGTGACTTCAGCTGTGAATGATTAATTATTCCTGTAATCTGGGGCAAAATTTATATGACAGAGTAACAGCTATTTAGTGGGCCAGTTCCCTTTTAAGTTAAGGCTGTGGTTGATGTGATTGGGAAGTTAGTAACCTAACAACTGGATTTGCTGGTGGTCTGTCTGCTGCTGAAGCTGGTGAGCTGCACGGTCTGCAGATCCATTGCCACTGTTTTTCTCTGTAATTAAAGAACCAAATACAAAGAGCTATTTGGGCAGTGTTTACACAAAAGGGAAGGTTCCCACAGCAGTGCTAAGTCAGCTGCTTTGCACGTAGGTAATATTTTCTGTTCCTGCCTTTGTTTTTTGTACGTGATTAAAACATTACTATTCTTACCATTTTTTGTATATCGTAGTGCATAAAGGAAGGTCACTGAAATACTGCTTGTGCTAATGCTTTGGCTTTTTTTCATTTTGATTTTCACTTTGATTTTAACCTTGGTTTTGTTCTGTTCCTGCCTTCGGTGTTTCCATGTTACATGAAGCCAGTGAGAGTTGGGACAGGCATTTACAACCTTGGCTGGTTGTGTGTGGCTGGGATCAGGGTCCACACTGGCTGCTCTGTCACATGCTCTTGTTTCAATGTGCTTTCTTAAATAACTACATATTAGCATTGTTTAATCAGTAATTAATTACCTGACTACTCGCTGTGCTGAGGCTTGATGACTTTTAAGAACTGCAGGACTTCTTTGGAGAAAAAATGGTATATTAGTGTAACCTCCTGTTAACTTGCCTGTGGAATAATGAATAACTGTTAATTGACACCATAAATAGGGATACATTTCTTGAACCTGGGATGTTTATACTTCAACTTAGAAAGGAGGATGAAAACAAGAGGATAGCATTGTAGTAGGGGTGGGTGTGTGATAGGAGACTATTTTGGAAAGCCAGGGGGTACCTGTGTTGTGCTGATGTTCTGCCTTGGTGCTCCCTTCTGTATGTTTATTTGCTGCTGCTCCTAACCAAAGGGACATGGGGAGAAGAGGAAGTACTAAGCTTTTTAAGGAGGTCTTGGCAAGCACAGCAAATGATATAAAACATGACTATGAGATAGCTATAAGGAAGCTTAACAAAATGATAGGCAAGTCCAGGAAGAAGTTGTTTTTCTTTGGTCATTTGAAGAAATAAGGTAATTTTTGTTTTTGCTTTTCATTTATTATTACATATAATAATATTTGAAAGAAGTATGCCCTAAATGTATGTATTTGTATCATTAAAGACTTTAAAAAAATTACGTTAAATCACTGACTTGTTGTTGGTTGGTTTTTTTGTTTGTTTTTTTTTTTTTAAATTTTCATTACTTCCATATAATGTAAGTGTAGGCTAATGTTGGATTTCACTGCTTGAAAATATAAAAAGATTGTGTCTTAACCTGTTACTTACTTACGTTCTATGTTGCTGAAATTCTCTGTTTGGTTGTTTTTGGTTTTGTTTTGTTTTTTTTTAGGTTCTTATCTTGTCAAACAATCTCCTAAAGAAACTTCCCCATGGAATTGGAAATCTACGGAAACTCCGAGAGTTAGATCTAGAGGAAAACAAACTGGAATCCTTGCCAAATGAAATAGCTTACCTCAAGGATCTGCAGGTGAAACAATAATTGGTCGTGATAAACATCTTACGTCCTTTATTTACACCATGCTGATTTAATTGCAGCTATTTGAGACTGGACATAGAACCAAAAGTTAAGAATCTTGTGCAGCTTCACCCACAATGAGTCCCCACTGATTGTTCCCCAGCTTTATTAGTTAATATTGAACAAACAATTTTTGAAGCTTTTAACCGTTGTACCCTAACTACGGTACCACCACAGGAATAGCCCCTGATTTCAGTCATGCTCATGAAATCTTTTATGCTTAGCTGTGTCTTATTATCCACTATTTTATTTTTGTTTAGTGATGCCTAATAGAGGTTTGAAATGTTGTTGAATGGTTGAAATTTTTCTTGTTCAAATGCAGGAGAGTAGAACCCATCCATTTATCAGCTTTATATCATGTTACTTGCTGTCATTCCAAGCATAAGTTAATTTTTATAAATGTGTTTTTCCCTTAGAAATTGGTTCTGACTAACAATCAGCTGACCACCCTTCCCAGAGGTATCGGTCACCTTACCAATCTGACGCACCTTGGGCTCGGAGAGAATCTTCTCACACATCTTCCTGAGGAAATTGGTAAGATCCCTTTTTCTGGTTTGGTGCAGCATGCCTGAGCCAAAGCACTTATGATAGGCATCTACTCTGCTCATAAGTAAAAGCCAGAAAATTCATTTGAAACTTCTAAATATGCACAACCTGATGTGAAGCATGTACCACAGGAACAGCACTAGAGTGTATGATCTTTATCTTACTTCACTGTAGTGAAAAGGTTTCTCTGTTTTTCTCAGTTCTGCTGCAGAAAGCTGCTGAACACACACTAACTTGTAATGTATTCCTTTTTTCTCCAAATTCTCCCACAATTTTTTTGTATTATCCATCACTCAAGTTCATGAATCTATTCTTGGAAAGAGAAAGGAAATGTGCTGATCCTACTCTCATGCCATGATGTAAACAAAAACCTTATGTAAGGTGTAGACAGCTGAAGCAGATGTTTCTGCTGGAAGTACCTCTGCACATGCTTTTGTTTATAGGCCATCATATCGTTCTTCACCTTGATGAGGTAAGAAGAGGAAGTGGAGGAAATCTACAGAAAGAAAGGAAGGAATAGGATTTTTTTTTTTTGGTCTACCTGAGACGTTCAGACCTGATGGGTTCAGAGCATCTGAAACTGAGAGCCCACATTTGTTTTATAATTAGTGTCCAGGATATATGTCCAGAGTATGATTCTGAGCATCCAGTAGATGTTCAAATCTTACAGTTAATTTATTCCGGAGGAAAAAATGATGGGGCAAGCTACACAAAGCAAAATGTGGTCAGAAACATCAGATGAGGAAGGCATGCTCTGTCTCTCCCAGTGTCTTTAGTGAAGAGCCGTTACAGCATCTGCTCATCTTGTATATGCCTAAATGTGAGAAAAGCGTAAAACTGTCTAAACCTAATGTAAACTAATGTAGTTTATAATTTAGTGGAGAGATTTTGGATGCTGTGAAAACGAACTATGTAATTAAAATCAGTAAGCACATTTTAAATACTATTGTAGGAGTACAGTTTGGTTATTAAAGCTGGTTGTCTCCAAGGATTAGAGAATAGTTAACTATTTTCAGATGTGACTGCTTCATGTATTTTGCTATCAACTATTTCTCGTTATTTCTTCTATAGCTTTTCATTTTTGTAGATTTTCCATGCCATGAGTCCTGGCTACTGCTTTCTCCTGCGAAAGATTAAAGTCTCTTAGGTTACAGGAGATGTTTATGGTATATAAGATTGGAAAATGTTTTAAAGAGGGCTCCTATGTTTTTCAAAGGATGAATGGAAGACTTAAGAATGAAGAAATTGCTCTATTTTCCAGCTTCTGGCTAATTTGTATTGCAGTATCTGTAGTAGAGGCAAGATGAAAAATTTCACTTCAGGAAAAAATTTTCACACTTGTTCGTTCCATTTAATAAATTCCCTGCTGTGCAAAGAACACTCCTGCTTTCTTCCTGTGATACATGACAGTTACATCTTCAGGTCTTTAATATATGGCTTATATTTACATAAAAGGTATGACATAGTTATTTTTAAAGAGCTGATAGATACTGTGTGGTGTAAGTATTTTCTAAGTCCTTTTGACTAGATAGCTATTCAATATTGCTTGCAATTGCATAGCTCTTGACTGAATGGTTATGGTGAAACCCCTCTCAGTTCTCTTATTCTCTAGATTCACAGTTCAGTTATTATGTAAAGGAGATGCAGTAATGGATATTTTTACAGAGAAACTAAAGCAAATTCGTTCTTGCTTAGGTACCAGTTACCAGAAATTGCTGTGCTTGAAAACAGGGATCTGGATGAGTGAGTGACTCAGTATTCCATATAGGAAAGAATCTTCAAATGGACTCAGAGCCTCTATCTAAAAGTTATAAAGTGCATGAATCAAGAAGATACTAGTATTTATTATTTTATTTTAACCAGGTACACTGGAGAATCTGGAAGAACTGTATTTGAATGACAACCCCAATCTGCACAGCCTTCCCTTTGAGCTGGCTCTTTGCAGCAAACTGTCAATAATGAGTATTGAGAACTGCCCGCTCAGCCACCTTCCACCTCAGATTGTTGCAGGAGGACCCTCTTTCATCATTCAGTTCCTAAAAATGCAGGGACCATATCGTGCCATGGTCTGATGCTAATTGAATTGTCCAATACACTGTACAAAATACAAACTGCATTAATGTTGTAATTGTCTGTATATGTATATATAATATAATATATGTGGTTTATATTATATTATATATATATATAAATATATAAATAATATAAAAAGGCAAATTTAAGACTGCATTATGTGTTTCTGCTAATAGAGGAATCATAGCCATTTAGATTTTTTTTATTCTGTAAAAATGCTTGTCTAAGTTTTCTTTGCTGAACTTGATGGAAGTTGTCTGAATAATCTGAAATTGCCAGTTCATTTAAAGCAATTGCCAATGAACTCAAACTTTAAATTTAAGGGACAAAACCAGTTTTGCTTAGATTTACTTTCAATTAAGAGAAATGTATAACCTTTATATAATGAACTTTTCTGTTTTCCTCCCCCCACCTTTTTTTTTTTTTTTGTCAAAACCTGGAAGGGTCATGTGCCCTAAGGTTGGGATTTTCTTTTAACTTATTTTGAGATTTGAAGCAAATGGTGTTTTTATATTGTTTACAGTCAGAGTAAATCACTGGATCTTGTTTTATTCTGATTTGCTCTGTTTTAATCAATCATATCTAGAATTTATATGCCTCTGCTGATGAATTTTTATCAACCTGTTTGTATACTAAAAACATATACTCATCAGAACAACTGGCAGGTGAAAAGGATGCAGTCAAAACAAAAAGAAAAAAAAAGCTTGAATTCCTTTAAGTCTTGCTTCCCTGAGTTATCAGTTGCAGGCATAACATATCTGAACTGAGCCTTTTGCGGTTGGTCTTTTCTAGCACAAGTAAACCTTTCCAGATTGGTAAAAATGTCGAGTATTCTCAGTGAAGAGCGGTTTTCATTGTGTGAAGTAACAAGTCCATGAGGTCTAACAGTACAGTTAAGTGACAAGGAAATAATATATATGTACATTTTTATTACAATGTTGAGTCATAAACTACAACAGGCAATTTTAAGGATTCCCTAGACCTTGTACAATAAATGAATGTGTCTTACTTTTAAACACTGCAATATATGTAAGTTTTAAGGTTGGTTAACAATGTACTATGGTTTTATATCTTGACTTGCCTTGTACCTCCTTCCATTACGGAACTTCTGTGTCCAAGCACAATATCTTCACACTGTGCTGTTTTGCTGCTGAACTAAATGCACTTTTCCCCACAGCTGGGGCACTTGCTTCAAAATATTCAGTTCAGTATCTCGATTATTCTTTTTTAACTTCATCCTATCTGTTTCAGTATTAAACCGATCTATTAAAAAAGGGCACCTTTTTCATTTGTGCAGAGATGCTGGTAGCTCAAGAGAAACACTGTAAGTAGTGGACATTCAGTTTTATCGTGAAATTCTCGGTCATTTAAAAGGCGGAAGATGCTTCAGGGAGATTTACACTATTGCTGCACTTGTAGGGCCTGTTGTCCTTTTTCAGGAGGGTAGGAACTCGAGGTGGTTGCATTCCACGATTCCCCAGTATAACTGTTCAGTTTATACTCGTTGGAATTGCTGCTGGCGTAGTGTGACTTAGAGGACTGTACCTTTTGCACAAAATCAAATCAATCGATGCCATGGGAAAACTGTTTCACATGCAGAAGTTTGGGAATATTACTTCTGGCTTTCAGGCATGCTTATTTAGATGTATTCCCTTGATCTATTTTCATTTTGTTTTGTTGTACATCTTTTCATTAACAAGAAGTAAGTTTAAATGGAAGGCAGGTGGAGATATAAAACCTTAGAGGGCTTAAACATGCTGTAAAAGTATTGTAGATGTCACTGGATTTTACTAAGTAATGTCTGTTCTTTCTCATACACTCTGTCTCTGTTCCCCCCCCCCTTTTTTTTTTTTTACATCTACTGTAGCTTTTCAGTTTAGACTTTAGTTTATAAAAGGCTAGTTCCTTACAGTTCTGCCTGGGTTAATCTTTCTCAGCATTAAGGTGTTAAAATATGAAGATGCTGAACTGCTTAGTATCAAGACTGTAATCTAACTTCTGAATATACTGCTAAGTCCGTATTTGTGCCCTCAGGTCACTAGGGGAAACTGGTTTTATTAATATGGTTCCTTGAAACAAAAGTGGCGACCCCTTGTGTTTTCAAGCGTCTTGGTCTCATTCCCTGTCTGCTCCTCAATCCCATTTTTATAAGAGTTGACGGGATTGAATTTGTTTAGTTTGTAAATACGTTGATTATTCACCTTGTTAAGGTACATGGTTAATGACTGTATGATTGGAGCTGACCCTCTCACATAAATTCTTGTGGAGAAGTTGGCTACCAAAATAGTGCTCGTTACACTCGCTTAAAAACAAACTATTCTTTTCAGTACACTTATAGGAATAAATAAAGCTATGTTTTAATTCATTACTATATTAAAAACAGGATATTTTTTCAAACTATCTTGTATTAGTATGGTTGTTGCAATGCCAGATAATACTGAGCCCTGTTTTAGGAGTTTAATTTTATACACTCTGAGGTGAATGCTTATTTTTTCAATGTCTCAAGAGAGATTTGAATAAAAGCAGTGTGAGAGAAGTTCTGGTACAGGAAAAATCAACTCAGAAGGACAGTTCTTTAAAATTATCCTTTAATTTTAAATTAATTTTAAGTAATGAATATCTGGCATGGATTGGGAATACATATAAGTACTTACATGGTTTTATATCCAAATCTATACATAGATCCATATAAATCCAGATGGTTTGATCATTCAAAACAGTCTTACATCCTGACATAACAGACTTTTTGCATTTCCCAGGATGCTGGATTGTTAACTGGTATGGTTTCTAAGTTGTATTTAGTGCCTGATGACATTCAGTTGGACACACATACTGGCTTTAAGAATTTTATTTGCTTATAGCAGTTAAAGTATGAATGGAAAGATCTTCACTCTGACAAGGGTATGTATACATACATACAAAAATGTATTTGTGTATCTGTAGATGTATGAAAGCATAGACAAGGTGGAAAAATTAATTATTTACAGCATCTTTGAAAACAAGTGATTCCCAGGTACTTGTATTAAATATTTATCCCCCTTGCCATACTGGGGGAAATAATTTAGAATAGTTATTGAAAAATGTGACAATCTTTACTTTGGGTGAAAATCATGACCTTGATTGCTTGTCCATAGACAAAATATCAATTTTGTATGTGTCTGTGCCTATGTACATACATACACATGCCCCATAAAGACACTATCCTGACTCATGCCTTGATTAAACAAGCAAAGCTACTATAAACTATATAGTATTATGGAAGTCTGGTAAGGTATAAAGCAGGTCAGAGATTTGCTAAATAATGAAAAGAAGGAATAATTGCTGTTGTGACTCATATTGGTTACATATTGAATTTTAATTTACTAAATAGGAAGATGTTTTATAATTATTTGCAAAAATGTTTTAGTATAAACCCCTTAAAGTTGTGTCTCTCGCTGTCCTGTATTTTAGTTTTTCACCAAAGTTGTCAAGTATAAATGCAGTGGAAATGCTGCTTGTAAAGTTGGATCACACAGTTGTGCAATTGGGGCTTTTCAGTTTGGCAGATGCCAATGGAAATGTGACCTTCATGCACCCTTTTTAGAAAGAGATTTGGGTTGTAGAATATTTGCTTCGGTGCCTCTCTTTGATTTAGGTTTTTTCTAGGTGAGGAACATGCATGTGTAGACTTTTTGAAGGTCGTCTTTGCCCATGTACATGATTTAGACAAGTAGTACTTAGAGTGTCCCTCTGGTTAGTGCTTAAATCCACTGTGTCACCTGGAATTGAAGTGTCATCTTTAATCTTGGGAGTTTGAAAAATGTCTTTTATTTAACAATTAGAAAATGTCGAGAGGTTATTTCCCCCCCCCCCCGTGTTTTTTAAAAACCCAAAAATAAATTAAATTTCTGAATCAGCACAAATCCATATCAGGAGACTTTTCATATCTGGATGCAACTAAGAATTTTCATGTTTCACACCTCAGTTGTATCAATGGACATGCCAGAACAGTTTCTAGTTAGAAATGTGCAGTTGGCAGTAATTTGCACAACACAAACTTCAAGGCACAGTAAGGATGATTATAAACAAATGATAGTATCTACAAATGGGTTTTGTTTTTACCTTAGCAAATATCAAAAAATTATGTTTTTTTATTCTGATTTGGGTTTTAACCAGGACTGCACAGGATCTTTGCTGTGGAAAAATACCAGACCACACTAATTTTGTGGTTAAAAGCTAAGCAAGAGTGTAAACAGTCTATAAAAATGTACTTTTAATCTGAATTATTGTAATGTTGATTGTTATGTCTATATAAAAGATTGCCTTGCTTTTTTATAAGAGTCATTCTGTATCAATGCATTCATTATAAATAGTATATTTGTAAATAAGCTGCCACTGAGTCTTTTGAAAGTTTTCTAGTATTTTTAGTCTGACACTAACTTGGATGTAAGTCATACTTTTGCAGCATCTCAAATTATCAAGAACTACTTTCTCATTATATACTTACCTATCTTTGAAAGATATCAATTAAAATATAGATTTTCATATAGAGCAATTACAAGAAACTTCAAAAGTTATATGATAGTTACTGCTTTACTCACAGTCATGTGGACTGGACACCTATAAAGCAAATGTTGGTAAAAGCTTTTACATTCTTTTTGTTACAGTATAGTAGGGCATGCAGTAAAAAAACCCCACAACCTTCTCTCTGAAAGGGAAATAAAATTTTGGATTTTAGTGCAAAATGCATTTCAACAGCAACAAAATTAAAGTATATACAGAATTGTGGTGCCTAAAAGACAGACACCAGCATTTAATCTTCTGGTTTAATAGAAGACAATATTTCCCAGCTGCTATGACACCAGTCTGTGTCATAGATGTCTGATGTCTTTCAGCTCTGTAAGGCTCATCACTGCAGATGCTGTTTCAAGAAGGTCACTCTTAAGTCATATCCTACAAACAAAAAAAAAGAGCCAGTATCCTTTGCAGTTAGAATAGAAGGACCTCAGCAGTTTGGATACGATGAGGCAGAGGAGGACTATAGATTTAAAAAGCTAGAACAGGTTCTTTTAGTGTCGAGCAGTCATTCCTGCAGTAATGTGAGTGCTCCTGTCCTTTCATCAGATCTCTGCTGATTAAAATCAGTAGAGGGTCTGAGCAACCTAGCTAATGGTCTGTGTTTGAGTAGGTCCCTGTTACCAGAAGTGATCTGACAATCTGAAAACAAGCCAGTCTCCTCACAGGAGTGGCTGTCCTGTGCTGTGATGCTGGACTATATGCCATCCATCCCCTGTACAGATGTGCAGAACAGGGACCTGCAGTTCCTCTGTTGTACTGCTCCAGACCTCACCAACCACAGTCCGAAGGGCTTGCAAAAAGGAAACAGCATCTGCATCGCTGGATTTAGTAGCTCTTGATGGATTAGGCAAATTCACAGAAGAAACTTTCTTCTTCTTTTTCCTTTTTCTTTTTTTTTTCTTTCCTTTTTTTTTTAAATTCTAAATCTCTTTGTATTTCTGGCCTCTGCAACATCCTGTGTCTAATAATTCTACAATATAATTATGTGCTGGGTGAAAAAGTACTTCCTTTTGTTTGTTTCGAACCACACCACCTTATTTCATTTGGTGACTCCTAGTTCTTGTATTCTGAGAATTTTATGAACAGTCTTTTTCCTGTTCATCTGCTTTTTACCACTCTTGAAGTTTTTTTCTCCAAGTCATGAAGTTCTAGTTTTTTAGCTTTTTTTCAAATGAAACCTCTTCTGTTCCATGATGATTCTTGCTGCTTTTCTCTGTGGTTTTCTAGTCCCAGCTCTGATATTTTTTTTCCTAATTCATGGCCTTTAGCAAGCTCTTTTGTTCTTTGTGTACTTCAACTTAGTGAAATAAAAGTACAGCTCTGTTATAAAAATTAAATTTGAGTGGGTGATAAAGTTTAGTACTAAACTCCAATAGGGAATAATCCCACTAGGCAAGGATCAGATTGGGGTTTATACTTTAGATGCAGGCCACCCACTGCAATAATGAGTTGTTGCCTCTGATTAGCTATAACTGACTTCCATCATCTCTTGCAACTAGGTATGAAAAACAAAATTAATATTAAATTTTCCATAGGGTGCTGCTTTAAATAACGCCAACATTTAAAATACCCTCTTCACTACAGTAAGAGTGCATCATTTTGGAAGATGTGACTTTTGAATATTTCAGCTGGCGTTTTTAAACTGTGAAAGCCCAATGTTTTATGGAAATACTGTGAAATTTCTAGTGTTACGGTTTTTTTGGAAGAAAAGTTGGAGACCAACAGTGCACTGGTTGGGTTTTATTTTCCTCCTTGCAGCCTTTGTAGAAAAAGAAAGAAATTCCCATAGTTAAAAAAAAAAGAAAAGCAATCTTCCCCTGCCCCAGTGGCATCCTGCCAACAATCGGTATCAGCCACCTGGACGGGGGGATCTTGCTGGTTGTGACCACTTTCTGCTCAGATGGCTGAAGTGAGCATCCCCAGATGAGCCTGGCCTCAGAAGAATCACACATGTTGGCTATAATTGAGTGAAAAGTGAAGAAAATGTCTCATTTCTGCCACCTTATGTCCTTAAGGCTGTACTAAAGGCCTCAAAAATATGCAGACGGTGTCTTGTGCGTCTCTGGCGAGACAAACAGATTACATGTTTGTGTAATTAATCCAGCCTAAGTGCTTCAGGATACCGAGTCTCCCAGCACTGCTCTCCAGTGACAGGTCCTGCTTTCCACTGCTGGGAACTTGTGGATTTAGATACCACTGTATGTTGTTTAGTGTACAAACAGTATAAAATCTGCATGCTGGGCATCTTTATAGGGCATAGCTAGTGCTGTGAACCGTGTCCAATGGCCATGGTAGAAAAAAAGGTGTTAAAGGGCTGGAGATGTTTAGCTTTGATACAACTAGAAGAGGCTGAGTGCCTTGAAAGCTAATTTATTTTGTTTTCACAATCCATCTCAGTCAAATAAAATACATCATCTCTTCGCTCAAGCCTTGCCTCACTTAGGATTGTAAGAGTGGGAGATGATTTGATTACCAAGATCAAATGATGATGTTTTAGAGGAGGAGCCATCTGGAGTATTTGAGTGAGCAGCTGGCAGCCTGGGCTCCACAGTTAATGATCTGACTGTGTGCCTTGCAACTATTTTTTTCCACTGCAAAACCTTTTAAGAGTCTTTAGAGATCAATCTACCGACTGCCTCCGAGTAAGATGCTATCTGCAAAATTGCACACAAGCGTTCCCTTTTAAAAGCTCTTTCCACAATACCCTCTTTTTCCTTTCTATTAGTAAAGTATTTCTTTGTTAAGATTCATAATGAATCCTTAATTTGCTGTAGTTTGATACTTGCTTCATTTGACCTAGTAATAGCTGGTTTGCATTTTGTCCTGCATTATTACAGCTGTGCTGCCTGAAGTGATTTCCAAATTTCATGTGGACAATTTTGATGGAAGTACATTTTTCCTTGAAAATCTTAAAACCTTGTTTGCAAATAGCCATGGTAAGGACAGCGTGGTAAAACTTCTCTCCATATGACCCAAGGTTTTTGGATGCCCTTCAGCTTTTTTTGGCCCTTGCCAAATATGTTAACTGAGTGGAAAGTTAAAACTGAGAAGTTATAATTGTCTATCCTTGCCAGAGGAGCAGCAGGCAAGAAATTCAACTAGGTGTGGACCTGCTGGTCAGCAAGGCAGCTCTGATTTCAGGCTCTATAACCATCTCCAAGTAAAGCAGTTCTTTTCAGGCCTACCGGGCATTTCCAGCCTCCCAAGGAGCCGCATCACACAGCGCCGGATGGTTCTGGTGGGAGTCCCAGCAGCACCAGGGAGTCAGAGGTTTGCCTGGAAAGGGTGAAAGGCACTGGAGGCAATTCCCTAAAAGCAAATTGATCAAAGTGAGGGGTGGTTGGTACCCTGGGGCCAGCCATCCTCCTGGTTGGTGTAGTTTACAGCCCACACCCGGCTGCAGCTTCAGGCACAGCCTGCCAGGCAGGAGAACACAGCCAAGATTCTTGGGTCTGTGGCTCCACCAGATGGATGGTTCTGGAGCCAGGCCACTGCTTCCTCTGAAGAAGCTTTTTGAAATTTGGGGAGGGTTGATGTTACTTCAAAACAGGACTATATTTGGAAGTAGCAGAATCCTCCTGGAGGAGGGGCTTCTCTGGCAGTGCATGATTTTTTCCCTGTGAACTCGTAGTGTCTCACATCTGATCTCCGCTTCTCCACTTGCAGTCTTACCTGCCATCTTTCCTACATCAGATTTCCCTCTTGTCAGCAGCCATATATCTCACCCTTGTGCCTCCCACACTGTCTTGGGCTGAAGTAAGTGAAGGAGGGCAGGGAGAACAAAAAGATGGTGTGGGACCAGTGGCTTCTGATTCACTTGGTGCTGCCAGTTCTTCTGAATTTGCTTTGTATTGGTTATGAGCCCCTTTTCTCTAGTTCTGTTGGAGAATGGAGACACCAAGAGAAAAACAGGATTTGGGAACAGATGGTTGGGAGAGGGAAATAAAAAAGATGGATCAGCTGCACATGGCACAGCTGTTCATTGCTGTACAGCTTCTCTGTTGGCTCCTTGGACACTTTGTTTATAGAGCCCAGCCAGGTTTTTACATGGTGTCTCAGAGTCCCTGTGAAGGGATTGATGTCTGAGTACTTGCCAAATAAAAGATTTGGCTTGGGATACATGTCAAGACTCGGAAAGGAATGAATTTTGATTAAACGACAATTCTGTGGCCAATCTGTGCTTCATACCATTTAGGAATAAGGATGAACGTATTAATTTTTGAAGTGGCACAGAGTGCTTAACAGTCTGATAAAGAGTTTTGAAATATGTGTAATGCTTAATAGTATTCATTGCTTTTGCTTTAGGAAAACCCACATGCTCCCACAATTAAATTGTTAGTAAAATATTAATGAGAAAATGACATTCTCATTTCAAAAAGACATGTAATTCCCCAGAAATGTTTAAAAATTTACATTTTTTTAAGATACTTGTTAAAGTTGCCACGATTGCTTTTTACCACTCGTCTCTTGCTCTGCTTAAGGAAAATTGAGATTGGATTGTAGTGATGAATCAATGGTGATCTTCAGGGACTTCAACTCCAGAGGATTTTGCTGGCCTGGTGAGGTGTCCCAGTGCTCAGAGACACTGGGAACCCTCCTACATAGCACCTGAGCCTGGTGGCTGAGTGGGTGGGTGCTGGATCCCACTCATCCTGCCTGCAGGGCAGCGAGGAAGGTCTCCTCAACAAAACAGTTTTGAGGGGCTGTCAATTGAAGCCAGTTGCAGTAGCAGTGAACTGCCTTTCTGGGGATTTGGGGGGAATATTTTTAGCCTAGCTAGAATGAAAGGGTGCTGTTAAGCCTTGAGATTTCAGTTGTGCTGTTTTTCTATATGTGCCTGATTTCACTGGGACTAAACCTCTGGTAGTGCTTGAATGCTGTATGGCAATTTCCACTTTGTTGCAGAAGCACTTCTTTGTGTCCACTTCTTTGTGCCAAGCAAATGGCTTGGCTCCCATCAGTTGTTCTGGGAATAGTAGAGGGTGTTAAAGACATCAAGCCTTGTGAAGATAGGGACAGCATTCTAACAGTCCTAGGCACTGACCTGCTCTATCCTTCATCAGAGTGCCAAGACTTAAATTGTGGCAGAAGCATTTGCTGCCGTTGCTTTGTTCAGGGTTGAAAACAACTTCTCAGAAAAAAAAAAAAAAAAGGAAGAGTTTGTAGCAGCAGAGATTAATGCTTTTTGACATGTGCTTGGTTTTCTGTGACACTTCAGGGAATGACATGGGTTATTTTGCTCTTGAATTTTGTATAGCAGGAATTTCCCTTGGTACCTAGAATGCTTCCAGGGAAAAGGAAAGTCTGAGTTGAAAAAACACAAGTGGAGATGTATTATAGTGCTTCTCTCAGCCTGCATTCTCTAAGTGCTTTGTCCTGATTACACATTACCACCCTCAATTCCCAGATAGGATAAATGTTTCCTGTGGAGAGAGCTAGTTCGTATTGCTGAAAAGCAACTGACAGTGCTGAATAAGCAATAAATCAAAAGCTAGTGTTAATTTGAGCCTCTCAGGATAAAAAAAGTTGTACCTTGCAATCTGCAATATCCCTATGCAATATTCCTATGATTGTACCTTGCAGTCTGCAATATCCCCTATGCAATCTGCACAGGGAACTGTGTTGTAGGCAGTGTGGGAATGAGGAAAGTAACAATGATGGATGCAGAATTTGCAAATCACCGTGAGGATGGAAAACCTGGCTTTGGAGAGAAGAGCCCTCCCTCCTGTTCTCACTAGATGATGAATATTTCTCTGTGCTTTTGACTCCCCTGGCTGTCACCACACAGGCCGGGAAGGTGTTGGACCATCCACCAGCTGGAGTTCAAATGTGGGGCAGCCCCTGGCCCTGCCGTGGGGGCTGCCCCCACTCTGCGAGCTCTCCGTTCTGGGAAGTTCCCCTGCAGAGACAGGTGCCCTCTCCTTCCTTCCCACGGAGCAGTTTCACCTGCAAATATTCCTGCCATGTCCAAGTGGGTGGATTGTGGCCAGGGCGTGGGGAGGCAACCCAGCCTTGGTGGAAATCTCCCCTCTGACATGGCCTGGTGGCAGAGGGGCAGCCAAAGGAGAAAGCAGCTCTGGAGACCTGATGAAGGCAAGCTCTCCTCAGCATCCCAGGCACTCGAGCACCCGGCTGAGTCCACAGTAAAGGTTTTTCCTTGGAGGTATTTGTGTCCCTTTCCAACACCCTTTCTCCTCTGCCCACTGCAGCCCTGGTTAACAGTTCAGCTGAGGTGGGGAAGGAGAATTCTCAACTCAGAAGGACTCTGCTCACCATGATGTCTTTTCCTGGGGTATTGGCTCAGCCTGTGCCATTAGTAGCTCATCTGGGCTTGATC